CTGTTCTTCTCTCCATTGCATGATCACAATAGATGCGCGTTGCGTGATTACAAAAGGTGCTAAGCAAAGTGATGCAAAGTACGACAAAGCACAGCAAGGCAAACTGAAGGAGACTATAACAAAGCGCAATAAAATATAGCAACGTAAAAAACACAAAAACTCATCGCGCTATTGCTAAGTCATTCGCCGTTGTCGCCACAGTACAAAAAACTATCTAAACCCACTATGCACAAATAGAAGCTACTAGTTGTTCATCCACGAACGGGCTACTGACAATATCGATGTCTAACGAAACATCACATAGTTCTCATTACCATTGTTACGAACGGTGAAAAAGAGAAAAAATAGAATATTTTGTTCAGAAATGGAACTACTGTAACGATCAAAGAAACCGGGTGAAGGGTTTTCTTGCTGTGACCAACAAATTCTGGAGGTGCAAAACAAATGGCGATTGATATCGAAGGGAATGAGAGTAGGGTAAGTGGATTGTTGATTAGTTGGTTAGTATTTACGACAACGATAACAAATAATCCATCAGTGCACCATCCGCTATGACACGGGAATTTCTCAAGGGTTTCGAGTAGACAATTGCAATTATTCATGAGCAATCGGATCAGACGTTGGCAAGTAATCATACATCAATCCACAATTTGATTCTGATTGACTGAGTGATTTCAATAAGTCGGTCGGTAACCTTTTTGCCTGCATCATATAATAACTTGAGATGACAATGATAATGATGATGATCATCATGAGGATTGCACTTTCAGTTCATGTCATTTGTTCTTGCTATGGCCACGATCATTATTCTTATCTTCATCGTCCTCATACTCATCATCTTCATTCTCATCATCATCATTCTGATCATTATCATCGTCGTCATCATCATGATGGTCTTGCCACCGATCATGACAATGATCATGGTTGGCGTAGCCCGCTAAAAGACGGATGTATTTGAAAGTGAGAGCTCGAATCCCTATCTTCTTCTCCCCTCACCCCTTCCCTCTTCTTCTCTTATTTCCTCTGTCATAAGCAGGAGATTTTAATTTTTATGATTTTGATTTTTTGTTGTTTATTCTGTTATGGTTTTGATTTTAATTTTGCATTGTAGGTTTCTCTTTGTTATTATATTTTATTTTATTTTATTCTCCTTTTCTTTTTGCACTTCTGTGATTGACGGACTTTGTGCATTCACGTGCTCATCATTAACATGCACTCATACTGATTTCTTGAATCAACCTGCCTAACTCTATCATGCATCAAAACTGTTTAATCATTCTATCGAAAATGGTCATCATTTATCCCAGCCTATATCCAAAATATTCAAATGTCCATCGTTTATCTCAACCTAAATCTGATATGTCTAGAACGCTCATCGTTTATCCCAATTTAAATTTAATATGTCCCAATTGCTCATCATTTATCCCAATCTATATTGGTTGTCCAATTTGGTTCTGATCATGCACTAAATAGAAAAATCGAATTGACCAATTCAGTTCGATGTAATGGCTGTGACAGACTAACGTTTTCACCCGAATAGAGCGCTCAGTCATGATAGTTGTATGTAAAATAATTTTGTATTTACATACAATGATAATGACTAGATATTCTATTTAGCTTAGAGCCCTGATATTTCAGACTTATTGCCACTCTTTCCAGAAATGTGGACCGACAATCTGCTGAGGTTGTAGGATAGGTTACTATGAATAAAATCGACAACTATTCTGTATTTTCTTTCTCGTTTTTTTTTTTTTGGCTCCCTCCCTCTCATAAAACAGGTCCTTATGGCCTTGCCTGCATTTTGATTGATAAGAGCATTTCATATTTTTTTACTATTGTTTTTTCGTTTGAAGAAATCAAATACTTGCAATTCCATTTCCTATTTTTTTACTGCGACAGATGCAAGAGAGTCCAAAAGGAAAACAAAAAAATAAAGAAAAACGCTTATTAAAATAAAAAAAAAACAGAACAAAGGGTGGCTATTCCTGTTAATTCTGAGCAATGTCATGAGTGCTTATCCATCAATTATTTAAATACAGCATAGGCAGACAGCCTGTTTAAGTTCAGTCTCCTGACTGATAATGAATCGGTGAAAGTCTTCGATTAAACAATATGCGAGACTCACGATTTCTATTTTTTTTTTTTTCCCTCTGGAGTTGTGTATAGCAAGTACGGCAACACATATCTACATACATTCGCAGAAATCCACCAGACATACTAAAACCTCCACCCTGTGCGGGTGTATTTAAAGCAATTTTTAGGTTGCATACAGAAATCCAACACACAGACAACTCTATCAATTACACAAACTGACAGAAATGGATACACAGACAAATGCACAGACACACAAATTCACAGACATACAAATCTATAGACAAAAAAAGGAAAAAACCAATCTGTGGACACAGACAGGGAAAAAAAAAACAAGAATAGAAATACCTACATACACAGATTAAATATAGAACATCTATGTTGTAAATATGAATATACACTGTATTTGGTCGAGTAGTACAGACTGCGTTCCTTATACACATCCTAATCCTATTCTAATTCTGATCTTGATCCCGATTTTCATTCTAATTTCCAGCCTCCATTATCTTCCTTCTCCACCCTTTGTCCCATATCTTTACCCACACATTTGTGCAAATATACAACACACACTCATGCGCAGCCATACCAACTCGTGGGAGCTAGAGACAATGAGAAGGAGGAGGAAAGGATCTGGGAACTCCGATAGGGGGCGAAAGGGTACTGTTGAGTCCACATTTGTCCAGTCATGGAGTATCAGGGGGTACTCCCCTTGCTTTTCTTTGTTCTCTCTCCTAACCCCACTCTCTTTGATCTGTTCAATCTCACCTCCTTCAACCCCCCTTAGCCAAGCACTGCTGAATACTTAAATATGCCATTGGATTTATTTTTGATTCGAAAGGAATGAATTTTTTTCTTTTACTTGTTCCCATTCAACAGTAATAACAGTCTGCACCTGCAGCTTGATTGATTCTGTAAAATCTGACTCATCCAGTGTTACTCCCTTCATTTCAAAAGTACATCGACGTTGCCAGAGGACCCAGAGGATGACTCTTCTGCCTATTTTGAATAAGTTAAGAGAGAGAACGTCCATTTGATCCTGAAACCAGGTTTCAAATAACAAAGCCTGCCAGTCGGACAGCGAAGTCCGAAGCGTATTAAAAGACCTCCATACTCTTTCCCATCATCCAATTTGCAGATTCTCTCTTGTGAATAGATCCATTCATGGGTCAATGCAATTCACAAAATTGTCTCTCGTAGGTCGATTCAGATTCCTTCTTGTGCATCTATTCAC